ATTCCTCGCCCGGGAAAAAAACAGATTGTTCAGGTCCCCAATGGCCTGGATGTAGGATTTGGAGTTCCTGAAAGAGGAGGATGCAGAAGAGACTGGAGTGGAGGGAGGCCTCTGACCTGGAGGTGGAGTTAGGTTCTGGGTGATTTCCTCAATCAGTGGGGACAGGACACTGAGGCATTTATCATTGCTGTGTCACAGCCCTCGAGACCCTCATTCTCTTGTTATAAGTGGTGTGGGCAGCCAGGCTTCTACCCTTGCGAGGGATCAGGGATCTGTGGCTAAGTCAAGTTTTGGTCTGGGATGGAATTTGTCTTGTTGGGGGCTCTTGGAACAATGCTGAAATTTGTGCTGTAAGCATGTAAATTGTCCTATTACCTCTCAAGTAAGTCCACATCAATGTGTAAGAAATAAGACCCTGCAGCACAAGGGTTATCACTGACCTGTCTGTCTGGACGCTGCTCTGGTGGCTGAAGGTGCACTTCATGATGGTGTCCAGGGTCATCATGGAGACATGTCCAAAGATCTCCAGATGTGAGTCCTGGCTGATAAGCTCCTCCCATTTGTCCTGTGGTGCAAGGGGGACATTGATCCTCCCTTGCCCCCCCATAAGGCCTGTGATGACAAGGCCAGGCTCTCTCTCTGTCTTTCTAAACATTCTTAAAGGATTTCCTCACTTTCTACAACAGATATGGTATAGTAAATTAAGACTATAAAGCAAGAGTTTGTAATGTGAGGCCTATTTTCTCAGAAACGTCTATTTTATAATTAATGGTCTCTCATAATAGTCTGAATTGGTATAGAATTTTAGGAACAAGTTGCAATGATAACCTCCTTTTGGAAGACCAGAAAACGTTGTTTTTCAGGGGACAAAGAGGAAATCTTCTCTGTCCTGGGGCTGAACTAGATGTGAGGGACAGGTGAAGTCCACATTTGGGGAGCAAATGTGTCAATGGAAGAGCAAGCCTAAAGGGTCAGTACTGGGGCTTCTAAGGAACAGACATCTGGGACTTCAATTCCTTTCATTCCTCAAACATTAGCTGAGCACAGTTAAGAAATCGCAGTCTTGATGGGAGGTGATGTGATGGCAGGATATGGTTCAGATTGGTGGGTGTGGTCCAAGTAGTGTAGACCTGAGAGTGTCTTAGAGTGTACACCTGGTCTCCATTTGCTTCCATTGAGTGGCTCAGTTCCATTCTGAAGCCCTGGGCTCCAGGCCAGAGCCAAGCTGAGTGACACCCTGGGAAGCCACTGAAGCTGCCACTGCCCAGCCCAGCCAGGGTCAGCTTGTCCTGCTGCTCTGAGAAATGAGGCTTGCTCTAGTCCACTGTGCTGAAGACGTTGAGGTGGCAGGAGAGTGGACGCTGTATCCACCCTCCTTTTCCTTGGCGATGAGAAAGAGTTTATCTAAGCTGGTATCTCCTATCCCATCCACTTTTGGGGAGCCCTGTCTCATAGTAGGATCTGAGTACATTACTCTGGGTGTCTGTGTCTGATGTATGACTGAGAGATACCTGTGTCTGGAGTGGACTCTGTGAGTTTTGCTGTGTGTGAACATGTGCAGGTGAGAGAGGGATGGACTTACCAGCATCACTCGGACTGAGTCGGCCATGAGCCCCACGTAGGGCTTCAGGATGTCGTAGTGGAAGGCTGAGGTCAGC